GCAGGACCTCCTCCCTCTGTCTCTTGCTCCTACTCTGTCCAGGTGATGTGTGTGCTTCCCCTTTGCCTTCTGCCATGATTGTAAGTTTCCTGAGGCCTCCCAGAACCCGAGCAGATGCCAGCATCATGCTTCCTATACAGCCCGCAGAACTGGGAGCAAATTAAACCTCTTTTCTTTATCAATTAGCCAGTCTCCAGTATTTCTTCATAGCAATGTGAGAATGGACTAATATACTTGTTTCAGCATCAACTCAAAAGTCCAAAGTCCAAAATTACATCTGAAACTCAAGGCACATTCTTTCCAGGTATGAGCTTATAAACTCTAAAACAAGTTGTTTACTTCTAATATACAATGGTTGCACAGGCATTGGGTAAAATTACCATTCAAACATAGGGTCTTGCTCTTTCACCCAGGCTGGACTGCTGTGGTGAGTTCTTGGCTCACTGCAATTTCTGCCACCTGGGCACAAGTAATCCTCATACCTCAGCCTCCCAAGTAGCTGGGACCACAGGCCATGCCACCACACCCAACTAATTTTTGTCTTTTTTTGTAGAGACAGAGTTTCGCCGTGTTGCCCACAGTGGTCTTGAACTCCTGAGCTCAAGTGATCCTACCACCTTGGCCTCTCAGAGTGCCTGGATTATAGGCATGAGCCACACCAAGCCCTGGCCAGCAGACTTTAAATCTTAAACCTCCAGAATAATCTCCTTTGGATTGATGCTTTGCATCCTGGGCACACTGGTGCCAGGAGTGGGTTCCCAATGCCTCAAGCATCCCTTTCCCCATGGCTTTGCTGGACATAGCCCACATGACTGTGCTCACAGGTTGGAATCAAATGCCTGAAGCTTAGCCAGGCTGAGGTTACATGCCACCAGTGATTCTAGCATTTTGGGGTCCTTGCGGTGGCCCTGCCCTTGTAGCTCCACTAGGCATTGTCCTAGTGAAGACTCTTTGCAGAAGACTCCTATGCTCTGGCCTCACATTTCTGCTTGGTGTTGCCTTAGTAGAGGCTGTCTGTGGTGGCTCTCCCCCATGGCAGGTTTCTATCTAGGCTTCCAGGCTTTCTTTTTTCCTTTTTTCCTTTTTTTTTTTTTTTTTTTTTTTTTTTTGACAAAGGGTTTCACTCTGTTACCCAGGCTGGAGTGCAGTGGTGTGATCACAGCTCACTTCCCCTTTGACCTCTGAGGCTCAATCGATCTTCCAGCCTCAGCCTCCCAAATAGCTAGGACTATAGGCATGCACCACTGCACCTGGTTAATTTTGTTTGTTTGTTTGTTTTGTTTTGTTTTGTTGAGATGAGGTCTTGCCATTTTGCCCAGGCTGCTCTTGAACTCCTGAACTCAAGTGATCCACCCACCTCAGCCTCCACATGAGTCACTGTGCTGGGCCTGCTCCCAGGCTTTTGATATATTATCTGAAATCTAGGTGGAAGCTGCCATGCCCACCGCTCTTGAATTCCACATGCATGCACAATAGTACCATGTGGACATGGATGCCACCAAGACCCACAGCTGGCACTCTGCAGAGCAGTGGTCCAAGCTGTACCTGGGGCTATTGGGCCATGGCTGCCCTGGCCAGAGCAGCTAGGAGAAGCATCTTGAGGTGGCTCAGGGCAGTGGTATCCCACCATTCTGTCCTCCTAGGCCTCTGGGTCTGTGATAGGAGGAATGGCCTTAGACCTTTGAAATACTTTCAGGGCCTTTTTTTCCATTGTTCTGTTAGTACCTGGTTCCCTTCTATCAGAATTAATTTCTTTAGCAAAAGGTCTCTTGACTGTACCCTTAGATTCCTCTTCTGAAAATGTTCTTTCATTCTCTACCACATGGCCAGGCTGCAAATTTTCTAAATTTTAATTCTCTGCTTCTTACACATTTCACCTTTAGGTCACTCCTTTGCTGTGTGTAAGCTGTCAAAGTAACCACATTGTGTCTTGAGCATTTTGCTGCTTAGAAATTTCTTCTGCCTAGGCCAGGCACAGTGGCTTATGCCTGTAATGCCAGCAGTTTGGGAGGCCAAGATGGGCAGATCACCTGAGGTCAAGAGTTCAAGACTAGCCTGGCCAACATGGTGAAACTCCATCTTTAAAAAGGAAAAAAAAAGAAATTTCTTCTGCCAGATGCCCTGGGTTATCACTTGTAAGTTTGGTCTTCCATAAAGCCCTAAGGCATGGACGTGATGCAGCCAAGTTCTTTGCTATGGCATAACATGGGTGACCTTTGTTCTACTTTCCAAATACACACTACTTTCCTTCATCAGAATGGCCTTTACAGTGCATGTTTCTATCAGCATTTTGGTCATAACCATCTAACCAATCTCTGAGAAGTTCCAAACGTTCCCTCATCTTTTTGTCTTTTTCTGAGCCCTCATCAAAATTACTCTTAATGCCCTGTTCACGCAATTTAAGTGTTTTCTAGCCTATTTCTTCAAACTCTTCCAACTTCTGCCCATTACCCAGTTCCAAAGCTGCTTCTACATTTTTATGTATCTTTATGGATGACCCCACTCCTTGGTACAAATTGTCTGTCTTAGCTCATTTTGTGTTGTTATAGCAGAATACCTGAGACTGGGTCATTTATAAAGAAAAGGTTTATTTACCTCACTGTTCTGTAGGCTGGGACATTCAAGGGCATGCCTGCAGCCTGCAGGGGGTTGTAGCTTTCATGCTACATTATAACATGACTGAGAAGGTCAAAGGGCAAGTGGACACATGCAAAGAGGCAAAACCCAAAGGATCTCTTGGCTTTAAAACAATCCACTATCATGGGAACTCATCTATTTCTGCAGGAACTAATCTCGTCTTGCGAGAGTAAGAACCTGCTTCCATGAGATCAGCTCATGGGGGATCCTCCCCCATGATCCAAATACCTCCCACTAAGCCTCACCTCCCAACATGACCCCCCTGGGGATCAAATTTCAACATAAGTTTAAGTGGCGACAAACTCAGATCATGTCCAAACCATAGCACTTGTCCTCAAGGCCCTAGCCTGCTTAGACAGTCTCTGAAATGTCTTCAGGGTTTTTCTCCCATTGTCTTGATGTATAGGCCTGGTTGCCTTCTGTCTGTACTAATTTTTTTAGCAAATGATTGCTTGGTGTTTTTCTCCTATGGACACCTTTTCAGTCTACATGGCTAGCCTTCAGATTTCCCAAATCTTTCTGCTCTGCTTTCTTTTTCGTTACAAATTCCATCTTTTAGTCATTTCTCTCCTCTCACGTTTTACTACATGTGCTTTAAAGTTGCAATACAGCTCCTTCAATATTTTGCTTAGAAATTTCTTTTACCAGATATCCTACTTCATCACTCTTAAGTTCTGTCTTCCACAAATTCCTAAGACACTGACGCAATCCTGCCAAGTTCTTTGTGGTAGATAACAAGAATGGCTTTTACTCCAGTTTCCAATACCTTGTTCCTCCTTTCCATCTGACACCTCATCAGAATGGTCTTTACAGTCTGTAACTGTCTATATTTCTACCAATATTCTGATTAGGACCACTTCTGTAATCCCTGAGAAGCTTTAGGCTCTTCTTAAAGTTCTTTCTTCATCTGAGCCCTTGCCAGAATTGCCCTTAATACTCCATTCATGGCAGACTTTTATCTCCTGATCCTCCAAATTCTTCCACCTTCTACCCCTTTCCAGTTCAAAAACCACTTCCACATTTTCAGGTATTTGTTATGGCATCAGATGACTTCATGGTATCAATTTTCTGTCTTAATCAGTTTTATGCTATTATCATAGAATATCACAGACTGGGTAATACGCATTGAACAGAAATTAATTTGGCTTATGGTTCTGGAGGCTGGGAACCCCACGATTGAGGGGCTGCATCTGGTGAGGGCCCTCTTGCTGCATCATAACACGGCAGGAGCCATCACATGGGTGTCAGAATGAGAGAGGACAAACTGACTTTTGTAACAAACCCAGTCTCATGATAATGAGTTCACTCCTGCAATAATCACATTATCACCTTTCTGTTTCTTTTTTCTTTTTTTTTTTTTAAGAGACAAGGTCTCACTCTGTCACCAGCTTGGAGTACAGTAGCATGATCACAGCTCACCTCAGCCCCAACCTCCTGGGCTCAAGTGATCCCCTTGCTTAGGCTCCAGAGTAGCTGGGACTATAGGCACACACCACCACACCTGGCTAATTTTTTACTTTTGATAGAGATGGGGTCTTGCTATGTTGTCCAGGCTGGTCTTGAATTTCTGGGCTCAAGCGATCCTCCCACCTGAGCCTCCCAAAGTGCTGGGTTTACAAGCATGAGCCACCATACCCAGCCACATTATCACCTCTTAAAGACCCTAGCTCTCAACACTGTTACACTGGGGGTTAAGTCTTTAACACATGGATTCTGGGGGACACATTCAAACTGTAGTTATATGTAGGATTATACTTTATTTAGCCCAATGTATCCAAAATATCATTTCAACAAGTTGTCAATATAATAAAGTTAGTAATGTGCTATTTTACATTCATTCCTAAGTCTTTGGAAACTGATGTATATTTTATACTTATAGATGGCCACGTTTCCCAGTAAGCAATGGCCCCTAGGTTAACTAGTTGGATAAACATAACCAGCTGGATAGTCCAGGTCTAGAACAATGATAGTATTTCAGCAGTGGAAATCAGTTCCTAGCAGATAAAGAAGGGCTCTAGAAAGTGACTCCAGCTTGAGGAGGTTGTGTTTGCTGGACTGGCTGATCATATGGTATCACCCAGAGAGGCTGAGAATTTCTGAAGCTGACTTGGGAGTCACAGTCATAAAGTCTGTGGTCAGCCTAGTCTTGTTCCAAAGTCATGGCCACTTGGGTATGTTGCAGTCCAGTGTTGTCATTTTGGATCTCATAATGTCAGAGGTCTTTCAAGGTCTGAGGGAAGTTTGCAGAGGTGAAGGGAAACCCTTTTGTTCACTTCTATTGATTGTTATAGCTATTGACAGCACACAGAGTGCTTGCTCACATGACTGTCTACTTTTTGTTTGTTTTTGTTTTTTTCACATGAAAGTTTTTAGTTTATTAATCATCTCATGAAAAATCCACAACGGCCACAGATAACACCATTGCAGCACCTTTACTCCTTCAGCTTTTTGCCAGCACCAACATTGGCCTTTGCAGTCCCCCTGACTTTCCTCATTCCGTTCTTGTGTTCCTCTCGCTGCTTTCTTGAGGTCTTTTTCTGCTCATACAGGCCTTGTCTTGCAAGTCTATGTTTGGGTTCATTTTTCTTTGCATAATCTGGGGAATCATAAATCATGCCAAAGCCAGTTGTCTTGCCACCATCAAAATGAGTTTTGAATCCAAATACAAAGATGACATCCTGTGTGGTCGTGTACATTTTGGCTAGTTTTTCCCGAATTTCTGTCTTAGGCAACTGTTGCCTTCCCGGGGTGAAGGATATCAATGACCATTTGTTTCCTCTGAAGTTGTCAGTTGGTCATGAACTTTCTAGTGCCAATAGTTATGTACCGTTCATGATGGTGGTCTATCCTCAGACAGCCAGGGAGGAAAAGCATGACTGTCTACTTTCTAGCCTCCTATTATGCATTGGAGGAGAGTAGACAAGGGCTGGGAGCAGAGAACAAGGCTAGCAGTAACTGAAGGTAGACGGCGTAGGTCTGGGACCACCCTCTGAAATGGTTATGGGGGCCATCCAGGCCATATAAATGCTGAAGCAGGGCTAGTAAAAGTGACATTGGAGTGTGGTGGGGTCCCAGTGCATCCTATCTAAAGGCAGCAGTTGCTTCAGCTCCCACCAATCATTGATATATACAAAGCATGACTCGGTGGTGTCAGATCTTCATTTTTTTTTTCTTTGAAGAGAAATCAGAAATCCAGATTTTTATGTGAAACCTGTATTTTGTAATCATGATAAACTATAAATTATATTTACCATTTTAACCATTCATAAGTGTACAGTTCAGTGACATTAAATGCATTTGCAATGTTGTGTAACCATTACCACTATTTATACCCAAAACTTTTTCATCATTGTCAATAAAACCTCTGTACTCATTAAGCAATAACTCCTCCTTTGTCCCCCCCCCACCCCACATCCCCTGGTTACCTGTATTCTACTTTCTGCTCCTGTACATTTGCCTATTCTAGGATCCTCGTAAAAGTGGAATCATACTTGTCCTTCTGTATCTGGCTTGTGAAATCTGTTTTTTAAGTACTGGTAACTAATGCATTTCATTTTTTAAAAATGTATTTTATGTCTTAAAACTGCATCAGATTAAATTGCCAGTTTGAAGGTCAGGCATGGTGGCTTATGTCTGTAATCCCAGCACTTTGGGAGGCTGAGGCAGGAGGACTGCTTGAGCCCAGGAATTTGAGACCAACCTGGGCAACATAGTGAGACCCCGTCTCCACAAAAAATATGAAATTAGCTGGGCTTGGTGGAGCTCACCTGCAGTCCTAGCTACTCAGGAGGCTGAGGTGGGAGGATTGCTTGAGCTCAGGAGATTGAGGCTGCAGTGGGCTGCGATTATGCCACTGCACTCCAATCTGAACTACAGTGCAAGACCCATCTTAAAAAAAAAAAAAGAAGAAGAAGAAGAAGCCAGTTTGAGACTTCTGGGAAAGGTTACATGGAACTGAATTTCAGTTCTGCTTTCTCCTTCCTCGAAAAACTCTCACCAAACATGTGGGCAGGTGGAAACAATGTCAGAGGCTAGTGACTCAGCTTGGGGGATTAGCCCAGAACTTCCAAAAGTGGTTGGTGATTTGCCTCATCCATGGGGCTAAATGAAAATACAGAGGTCTGGGGCCCCACACAGACTTTCTTAACCAAACTATCTAGGAGAGGGGCCCAGCATTTGGTATTCTATTTTTTTTTTTTTTTGAGATAGAGTCTCACTCTGCCGCCAAGGCTGGAGTGCAGTGAGGCAATCTCGGCTCACTGCAACCTCCACTTCCCAAGTTTAAGTGATTCTCATGCCTCAACTTCCTGAGTCGCTGGGATTACAGGTGCCCACCACCACGTCTGGCTAATTTTTGTAGTTTTAGTAGAGATGGGGTTTCACTGTGTTGGCCAGGCTGGTCTCGAACTCGTGACCTCAGGTGATCTGCCCGTCTCAGCATCCCAAAGTGCTGGGATTGCACGCGTGAGCCACCACACCCAGCCAGCATTATATATCTTCAACTGGCCTCCCAAATGAGGCTCATGATCAGACACTTTTTGAAACCACCAGGAGGAAAGAGCAGCATGCATGGGAAGAGACTGCCTGCTTGGAGCCATATTCTTGTCAGGGCTGATTTTTTTTTCTTTTTCTTTTTTTGTAGAGATGAGGTCTTGCTTTGTTGCCTAGGCTGGTCTCGAACTCCTGGCCTCAAGTGATTCTCCCACCTTGGCTTCCCACAGTGCTGGGATTACAGGTGTGAGCCACTGCACCCAGCTGGTCAGGATTGATTTATGATATGTTTGCTGTATGTTGGGTTCAGTGGGAAGTAGTGGGAGCTTGGGCCACTCACCCTTCAGATTGAGGGCAGAGGCTGGGCTGGGGCTCATGATTTTTATTCACCTAAGGTACTGAAAAAGTTCCTGAAGACCTTAGGGTTGGGGAGTTGAGGAGCCCTAATGGGATATGAGCTGAAACCATGCATATGCTCCACATCCTTTGGGTTCTTTGACATTCAATCCAGTGCCCTGGAAGAAGCTCAGATTGGCCTGGCCTGGCTTCTGCCTTGGCTTCTTTTTTTTTTTCTCTATAACCTAATCTTGAAAATGATTTTTCTTTAGAAAAGTGATTTTTCTTTAGAGACAGAGTCTTGCTCTGTTGCTCAGGCTGGAATGCAGTGGCACAATCTCAGCTCACTGCAGCCTCGAACTCCTGGGCTTAAGTGATCCTTGCCTCAGCATACAGAGTAGCTGGAACTACAGGTGTGTGCCACCATGCCTGGCTAGTTGTTTTATGTTTTGTAGAATCTGGGTCTCACTATTTTGCCCAGGCTGGTCTTGAACTCTTGGCCTCTAGCAATCCTCCTGCCTCTGCCTCCCACAGGGCTGGGATTATAGGCATGAGCTATCACTCAGGGCATGCCTTGGCTTTGTTGACTTGCCAGGCATTGTTACAGTTGCTTGTTAATTTCATAGACTTAAGTCTAAGTCTTCGGTTTCCAATTTCCAGACCTCCGCTCCCCGCCTTTTGCTATTTAACCTGTCTCTTGTTACCTCCCAGCCTTGGCTCTGCTCTGACCACTCTGGCTCCATACTATCTCCTTGGGATATACTCTTTGGGTCTAAGACTTAGGCAGTAGAGAGGAATGTCAGCAAGATGGTGGACTAGAAAGCTCCAGGCCCTCATTTTCCCACAGAAATGTTAACTAGGAAGTGGCTAAAATAACTTCTTTTGAGAAGCTTTGGAAGTCAAAGATCTACAGCAACCAAGCCCACCCAACCAAGAAAAAGACACATTCAAAGCCATAGGAAATTTCATGGCTTTTAAACTCACCTTTGCCCCATTTCCTCCCCCATGCTGTGCATCCAGTCCCCAGTTCTCCTCTGCAAAACGAATACATGGAATTTGCAACATTTTAACCTGCTTTAACTCAACTTCATTTTTATACACTGACAATGTACAACACCCCTCCCAAAAAATTAAGAAACAATTCCATTTACAATAGCATTAAAAAATAAAATACTTAGGAATAAACCAAGGATATAAAAGCCAAATGTATTGGAAACTATAAAATGTTGCTGAAAGAAATTAAATAAGATATAAATAAATGGAAAGACTTCCTGTGTTTATGGATTGGAAGACTTCATGTTAAGATGTCAAAGCTACCTAAAGCGATATATAGATTTAATGTAATCCCTGTCAAAATCCCAGTAATGGTTTTCATAGAAATAGAAAAATCCTTACCCTAAAATTCATATGGAATTTCAGGGAACCCTGAATAGCCACAACAATCTCGAAAAAGAAGAACAGCATCGGAGATCTCACACTTTCTGATTTCAGAACTTACTACAAAGCTACAGTAATGAAGACAATGTTGTATTTGGCATAAAGACAGGTATATAGACCAATGAAATAGAGAGACCAGATATCAACCTTTGGGTATATGGTCAAATGATTTTCAACAAGGGTGTCAGGACCATTCAATGAGGAGAAGACAGCCTTTTCAATAAGGAGTGCTGGGAAAACTGGATAACCATATGAAATTAGACCCTTGCGTTGTCAGAGACATTTGAACAAGCGCGACTCCATCTTGAATAGGGGTTGGGTAAAATGAGGCTGACACCTGCTGGGCTGCATTCCCAGGAGGTTAGGCATTCTAAGTTACAGGATGAGATAGGAAGTTGGCACAAGGTACGGGTCACAAAGACCTTGCTGATAAAAGGATGCAGTAAGGAGGCCAGCCAAAACCACGAAAGCAAAAACGGTGATGAAACTGACCTCTGGTCATCCTCACTGCTCATTATACGCTAATTATAATGCATTAGCCTGTTAAAAGACACTCCCACCAGCACCATGACAGTTTACAAATGCCATAGCAAATCAGGAAGTTACCCTATGTGGCCTAAAAAGGAAAGAAACCCTTAGTTCCTGGACTTGCCTGCCCCTTTCCCAGAAAATTCATGAATAATCCACATCTTGTTTAGCATATAATCAAGAAGTAGCAATAAATATAAGCAGCTGAGCAGTCCATGCCACTGCTCTGCCTATGGAGTAGCCATTCTTTATTCCTTTACTTTCTTAATAAACTTGCTTTCACTTTATGGACTTCCCCCAAATTCTTTCTTGTGTAAGATCCAAGAAACCTCTATTGAGATCTGTATTGGAACCCCTTTCCAGTAATATCATTATACTATATACAAAAATTAACTCAAAAGTGGATCAAAGACTTAAACATAAAAGCTAAAACCATAAGACTCTTAGAAGGAAACAGGGGAAATGCTTTACAATGTTAGTTCTGGCAAAGATTACTTGGATCTGATACCAAAAGCAGAGGTACTAAAAGAAAAGAAAACATTAAACTACATCAATGTCAAATGTTGATGCATCAAAAGATGCTATTAACAGACTAAAAAAGTCACCCATATTTGGGAGAAAATATTTGCAAATCATATATCTGATAAGGAATTAATTTCTAGAATGTATAAAGAACTCTTACAACTCAACCGCAAAAACAACAAACAATCCAATTTAAAAATGAGCTAACAAATGTACAAATGGTCATAGCACCTAAAAAGATGCTCGACATTAGGGAAATACAAATCAAAACCACTGTCAGATACCACTTCACACCTATTTAGGATGGCTTTTATTTAAAAACAAAAGTGTTGGTAAGGATGTGAAGACATTGGAACACTTTTGCATTGCTGGTGGGAATGTAAAATGGTGCAGCTGCTATGAAAACAACATGGAAGCACCTTAAAAAAATTAAAAATAGCCGGGCGCGGTAGCTCAAGCCTGTAATCCCAGCATTTTGGGAGGCCGAGACGGGCGGATCACGAGGTCAGGAGATCGAGACCATCCTGGCTAACACGGTGAAACCCTGTCTCTACTAAAAAATACAAAAAACTAGCCGGGCGAGGTGGCGGGCGCCTGTAGTCCCAGCTACTCGGGAGGCTGAGGCAGGAGAATGGCGTAAACCCGGGAGGCGGAGCTTGCAGTGAGCCGAGTTCGTGCCACTGCACTCCAGCCTGGGCGACAGAGCAAAGACTCCGTCTCAAAAAAAAAAAAAAAAATTAAAAATAAAATTACCGTGTGATCCAGCAATTCCACTTCTAGGTAAAAAAATTGAAAGCAGGAACTTGTACAGATATTTGTATACTCATA